TGATGAGACATGCAGGGACTCACGGGATGGGGATGGAGCCGGCCCTTTCCTCCCAGCCCCCAGAAAGACCCCAAGTTGCCACCCATGAACAGCCTCTCTGGCTCCTGATCAAGCTGCTTAACGGCCATGATCCAAGAGACTCAGAAACAAATCTCGGAACCCAGTGAATTTTGGCAGAAATACATCTGGTCCCCACAGTAAGTTACCGGTACTGGGCCACCCCAGGTGGGAAGAGGTTTTGTGCCTTGGCCTTTTCCCCCTGGCGGGTCAGTGGCAGCCATCCTCCAGAGGCCATTGGAAAGTCAGGTTTGGACCCACAGTGATGAGACACGTGGGGCCTCATGGGATGGGGGTGGATCCGTCCCTTCCTCCCTGCCCCAATGAGACCCCTAGTCGCTGCCCACAAACGTCCTCTCTGGCTCCCGATCATGCTGCTTAATGGCCATGATCCCAGAGACTCAGGAACAAATCTCAGAACCCAGCAGGTTTTGGCAGAAATCCCTCCAGATTTAATTGTTAAAATTTTGGAATTCCAAAATTGCACGGCCACTACTGCCATGTGACATCATATATTATTCATAACCAGCAATAGAAAACAAATTGTCTATGGTTGCCTTTTCGGCAAATCTGAGTGTTGGGGTAAAATCCCAAATAATAATGTTGGTCTGGTGTCGAAATATTGAATCAAAGGAGAGAGAGAGTAATGTGGAAATCATCTGCCCCACAGGTAGGGGGAAGGTGTGGGATGGAGGGCATACTCATTTTTGTGGTGGAAAATGAGCACTGGAGAAGGGGAGGGTGTTTCATCATTGTATGACCGAGACTTAAACCCAAAAGTTTTGTAATTGCTCTCACAGTGATTCAATAAATAAATTTATAAAAAAGAAAAAAAAAGGTGTTCGTGCCTAATTCAGTCAACCTAATCAATGAATAGCAATACTACATCTAAAAAAAAAAATAATTAGCATTAGTAGTCATTTTCCATTTCTCTTTACCCCAAATCCCCTGCAATAATCATTAACTTGCTTTTGCTTATTTGAATAGTCCATATAGATACAGAATTTTACTTTTTTTTTTCCTTTTTGGATTACACCCAATGATGCTCAGGGGTTTCTCCTGGCTCTGCACTCAGGAATTACTCCTGGTGGTGCTCGGGGGACCCTATGAAATGCTGGGAATTGAACCTGGGTCAGCCGCATGCAAGGCAAATGCCCTACCCGCTGTGCTATGGCTCTAGCCCCTACATTACTTTTGTGTGAATTTTTCCACAAAGTAAGATTTCAGGGTACAGCATGGACCAGTACTGCATTCTTTTGATTATATACTGTTCTAGTGCATAAATATGCCATTATTTTTTATCCATTTGATGATGGACATGTTATTTTCTCATTTTTGCCTTTATGAATAATTTTATCAATATTTTTGTGTACTTTTGTATAAATACTTTTGAATGATCTTAATCACTGGGTTACATAAGTGTTTGCTTACCTTTTGGGTCACACCCGGCAATGCTTCTGGCTCTGCACTCAGGAATTCCTCCTGGTGATGCTCAGGGAACTATATCAGATGCTGGGGATTGAACCCTGGTAGGGCGTGTGCAAGGCAAACATTCTACCTGCTGCACTATTGCTTCAGGCCCAAGGGTCACGTAAGTGTTCAACTTGAGAGACTGACAGTATGTTCTTAAGCATCCCATTGTGTGTCTGTGTGTTTGTGTGTACAATTCTACGATCTCCCAATGAAAATAATTTGTCCATATCATCCCCAAATTTAGTGTCTTTTTAATTATAGAAATTTTAGGGGATGTGGAATGGCATCTAATAATGGTTTTGATTCTTCTTTCCCTGTGGACTAATAATGTTATGCATCTATTAATGTATTTCTTGGTCATTTGTTAAAACATGTTCACTCATATATTTTGTCCATTTTTTTGAGTTATCTATTTGTGATTGGCAGACAGTTGGACATTCTGGATAGTAAACCTTTATTAAATATGTTATATGCAACAGTTTTATCTTGTGAATTATATTTTATTTATTGGTAGTATAATTTGAACACAAGTTTTTAACTTTGATAAAACCCTACTTATGCACCATTTGTTTGCTTGTGATCTTGTTATATTTTAAAAATCACAAATCAAGTAACAAATATTAAGGCCTGTTTTTCTCTAAGGACTTCATACTTTTTTTTACATTTTGGTCTTTATCATTCTGAGTTAATCTTTATGTTGTGAGGTAAAGATCAAGCTCAACTCTTTTGCATGAAAACATAGTTATCCTAGCACCTCTTGATAAAACAGAATTTTATTTCCCTTAATTTTTTTGGCAACCTTTCTGAAGAGGATCAACTTGATATACCTGAGTTTACTTCTAAATATTATAATTTTACCATCTACCAAAATAACCTTTTAGTGTTTCTGAAATACTGAATCTTTCATATAGTTATAATATTTAATGAGTTAAATATTTAATTTTAAACTATATCTTCTTGAAATAACCCCAAATTGTTCATGAATTTATCTTCTTGTACTCTATTATTAGAGGTTTATAAGTGATGTTTACTTTTAGATCTTATGTTTCCAAACTTTATCATTAGATTCTTCTAAGTTTCTTATAGTTGAGTTCTTTTTCCATGGTTTTGGGAGATTGAAGGTCTAAACAAAATCTAAAATTCTAGATATAAAATGCTTAAGATTTCTCAAATCCTATCAAAGTTTCCTCTTACCCCACTTCTCCTCTTGGTGGAAGTCCCAGGTCCCTGCAGACATGTACTTAAACCTCACATGTATTAACTCAGGTGACTGTTTTTAGGGTGTTACTACACTAAGAATAATTTAATCCACTCCTTTCCCCATTCGTATCAGCCAAACTTCTTTCCCTTTGCATCACAACTTTGCTTGCTCAAGGCTGTTGTCATCTTTCATTTGTCCTGAACGCCCATCATCTTTCCCTGATCTCCCCAGCTGCTGCTACTTAATCCAAAGAAAATACAGCCTGCAGAGCTGACATGTGTTTGCTTTTCTAAATACTGTGCATCTGTCCTTATGTGAAAATTTTGCTTCTCAGAGTGGTGGATAGAGAAGAGATTCTGGAGCCAGGTTTCCTGGGTGAAATCTGACTCCACTGTACACCAGCTGTGTGACCTGCAAATTTCTCATCCTACTCGCTGATTAAAACAGCAAATCACAGGCCCTGTTTCACTGGAGTATGGTATGATATTGCATGATGTAGTGAAGAACAATGTACATACTTGAAACTATCAGAGTTTAGCACAGAGATGCTCTATGTCCTTAAAGGAAAGGAACTGCACTCGTGAGCAGGGCTCTTTTCTTGAAACACCACAATGACCATCTAACATGCAAATAACACGCTTCACATATGCTATTCAGATTCAGCCTGTCAACAGAAGCCTGTTTAGATGCCCTATCTTTTCTTATTACTGAATCAGTCTCTTCTCCCAACTGCATTATTCCCGTTAGTATATAAACTTGGTCACCCCCACATTTCTGCTGATTTTCAGTCATCCTGTTGCTCTTTTAAGAAAACTTGCAGTCAGAGTTGTCCTTTATTTGTCTTTGTTATTTTGTCTTGGCACACCCCTGACTGGTGTCCATCTGGCCTCTTCTCCTCTGGGTCCACGACTATTCTCATCAGAACCATCAGCATCCTTCACGTGCCCAGTGAAATGCGTCTCCTCAGCTCACTCCCTGCATTTGGCTCATACCACTTCAAAATGATCTTAATTTTGTTGACTGTGAAGAAAACTAAGAAGTGCACCCCCACCCTATGTCTCTTTCCTTCATAGGCTACATGAACTTGACTCATGTTCCCTTCTCCCCTTTGTGCACCCACTCTTTGGCTGCAACTGTGGTTAGATCTATGTGCTGTCAACCTCCTAATGTATGCTTCTAATTCAGACTTGCCTTCTGGGTTCTGAACCATAAACCACTTCCCACCCAACAGATCTACTAAAAATGCTATTAGAATCTTGAATTGACCATGTCCTAACTGACCCCTGTTATCCCTGCCCCTAGCACACAGTACATGTCCTAGGCTTCCACATGTCATACATACACCTATATGTGTTACATACATGTTTACATACACTAACATGCATGCACACTGCCAATCTTCTTCCAGAGCTTCTTCCTTTGCAGTACAAAGTTCTTATACAACCATGTCCACCATTCTCTCCTGTTAGGAGTCCAGAAGTCCATCTGAGCAAACTCCTTTGCTGAGCCTCCCCGCCCCCCTCCAACCAGACACACACCTGGATTCCAACACTTACCCATTGCCAAGTCTTCCAAGTCTTCTGAATCTACTCCCCACACATGGCATGGATGCACTCCGCTACTTTGAAACGTTACAGAGGCGATGGCTTTCCAGGAGCACAAATTATTCACCCAATGAATCTGCCTTACAATGTGGATCATTCAAGTTTAATCCCACGAAAATAAGACATAGAACTAGGGCATATGATATGGATGGGTTGCTAAGAATGGGGGTGGGGGAGTGGGGCGGGGAATAAGGCTGAAGCTTCATTTGCAGTCGGCCCTTATGTGAAGTCACAGCCTGCTTGATTCACCTGCAGAAACAGAAATCCCGTGGTCACATGCTCGAGAGCTTCAGATCATGCATTCGAGTCGGAAATACTTGAAGGCCACCGTTTTGAAATCAGGTTTCGAGGCCGATTCTGGATGAAATTCTGTGTTCCTTGGAAGGGGTCCTCCTCTCCTTCCTTTCTCACGGCCCTCCCCCACCCCGCCCCTCCTCTCTCTCTCCCTGACCAGGTGGCTTCCGCTCCTGCCGCTAGGGGAAGGAGCAACCACAGTTCTCCAGGCGAGAGCAGGGCCGGGCACACCACCGCCAGCTCACTCCTGCTGCTGCTGCAACTCGGGGCTGGGCCTGGGGCATTCACTGTCCTCCTCCGAAGGGATCTGCTCCTCCTCTTCCTCTTCCTCTTCCTCTTCCTCTTCCCCTTCCTCTTCCTCTGGCTCTTGCTCCTGCTCTTCACTCTGGGCCAGCCGTCTCTCCAGCATCTCCTCAAAGAAGATCTGGCAGCTGAAGCCCTCCTGGATTCCGTACTGGGCGTGCTGCAGCAGCGCCTCGAGGCTGGGGAAGACGCGGCAGCAGGCCACGCAGCGAAGCCCGTAGTCGGTGGTGACCAGCCAGTCCGGGGGCTCCCGCACCTCCTGCAGGCAGAACTCTAAGGAATCCAGCAGATCCGCGTCGTCCGAGTCCGTGTCGGTGCAGCTGTTGTTCTTGCTGTCCTCCAAATCCCAGTGCAGGTCGGTGTTGGATGCCATCTCGAAGGAGGAGCCTTTCCTCCGCTGCCTCCTAATGAACTCGGCCTCCCGGATGCGGGGCTTCTCGCCCACCGGCTGGAAGCCGTCCTCGGTCTCCCAGGCCACGGCCACGCCCCTCACGGTCCGCACGTGGGTGTAGAAGGCGAACACGCTCTGCTGCGGGCAGTCCTCGTCGCTGTAGCTGGAGGAGAAGCAGGACTGGTACTGGGAGTAGGACTGGTACTCAGAGGACGTGTCGGACGTGAGGGAGCTGCTGAAGCTCAGCTTGCTGCCCGCCCCGGCGGCGAAGATCAGGTCCTCCTTGTAGGGAATGGCCGGCCCTGGCTGCAGAGGTGACTTCTTGGCTTTTCGGGGCTCTGCGGTGGAAGGACACGTTTGTCAGCTCCACCACCCGCCTTCAGGACCCTCCCGCTCGGGTTGCCCTCCGGCAGGTACCCGTCTCCTCCCGGGGCCCAGGGTGATCATCAACGGGAGCTATGACGCCCGTTTCGCGGGGCAATCGAAATACTTATATTATACTATACATTAATTATACAAATAATGTATAAATAGATGTAGCTATAAATTGTGACTGTGATAAAGATCAAACCGGTTCTAAGTAGACAGATGTACTTATAAATTATGGATATGATGAGAAGGATCAAATAATGTATGGATGGAAGTGCCAAAGGCTTGACCGAATCCAAAAAAAGTGGACAGCTGGTGAATAGACAGATGGGTGCTGTTAGTTGGTATAAGGTCTGTGCTCTGTCCAAACATCTGCAGCCTGTCCATACAGTGTGATCCTATTCATTGATATGAAGGAATGAGCCGCCCGTAAAGGATGATCCTGGATGAATCTTTAATACATGATGCAGAGTAAAAGAAGACAGGTTGCCTTTAGGTGATGTTCTAGAAGAGCTAAAACTCAATGCAGAGAGGATAGATTAATGGTTCCCCAGAGGAATTGGAGTGAACTTTGGGAGTGATGAAATATTTTGCAGCATGAATGTGGTGGTGCTAAGGCAAATATATACACCTACTAAAAATCATTCAAGTTGTCTACTGGAATATCAGTGAAGCTTGTGTATGTAAATTATGCCTCAATAAAGGCTACATATGGATGGACAGGGCTTTGGCTAAGCTCTCTAGCCCCATCTTTCCTTTGACCATTTGTAAAGGGTCTCCATTTTACTCTGACTGACATCTCACCTGCTCCTGGAAATCACCATCTTTTATATGTAAGTGTAAGCATTTGCCATGTTTTGGCTCTTTTAATCTTAAAAATAATCTAGAAGGTAAACTGTGGAGATTTTTATTTAACAGATTAGGAAACCAAGGCAGAGACCATTTCAGTGACTGACAAGAATGTCAGGAATGGTGTCAGGTACTCAGCCCTCACAGCAGTGTTATTCTTTGCTGCTAGCTAAGTCACAGTGCTTCAAATAAGCATTCTGGTTTAAACTTAATTTATGTATTGTGGAGGTGTATATTTATATCACTGGTTATATCACAGGATTAACATGCTAATTCTGATTTTTCCAGTGCATGTTAAAATATATGATTAACATGCTACATTTTCATCTTATTGCCCCCTGAAATCATCTCATATTGCAACACCAGCTGCAGTCATGCTTAGCACCCATTTCAGTGGCTAACACACTTTCCTAATAGCACCGAGGAGCAACCCATTCCCTTCCAGCACCCTCCAGGACTTTCCTCCCCAGGGTCCCACCCTTTGCCCTTTCTTTTGAACAACCTGGCCAGTATATTTTCAGGCTCTCCTCTGTGGACTCAGGGCTGGCCATGCTGAGGTTAGACTCCTCTGGTGACTTTTCCCTATCTTGCTCCATTAAGTGGTGTTGCATGGTTTGATTCCAGTTCCCAAGGGGGCTCAGTGCTCCAGCTGTTTGGTGAGAGTTGGCTTGGGCTATGCTGAAGCCCTTCACTAGTCCCAGTCTGAGTGGTCACTGGGCTTCTTTGCTCACTAGGATCCTGGCTTTCTTCTATGACATCATCGATGACATTATTCTGTCTCCATGGCAAAGACAGCAACCCAACCAAGAAAGCAAGAGAGGATACCCACCCAGTCTCTTTACCTCATGGATTTTATCTGCTTTGTGTGTTATCAGGGATACATACAAATTCAAAACATGTTTATAGATATACACACACACATACCTAAGCATAGCATACAGCCATCAAAAACACTTAGAAACACATATATTCAGACACAAACATATATAATCACAGACACTCAAAGATAAACACTTAAATATTATATGTATATGCATATTTACACATTCATGAACATACACACAGATTCACACATAGAATTCACAACCACACACATGTTCACAAACATGTACAATCACTCCCAGTTCACTTAGCCACATGTACGCTTGCATATCAACTGTCAACACATCAGGATGGTGCTTGACATTGCGGAAACAGCATGTGACCAGAAACCTTGCTTCTTCTTCACCCTTGCACATGCTTTTCCTACTGCTGCGACTATTCTCATCTAGGTCCCCCGAACATCTCCTCATCTCTCTCCAGTCTCTGCTGAAGCAGCACCTTGTCCACAGTCTGCCTTGACATATGAATAAAAATGACATGCTTTTATCTCCTGGTCTCTGTCATTGAATCCTCTTTGTTTTTCATTATAACATTTAGATGAGTGTAATCATATATTGGGTTTACCTATCTTCATCTTTTATTTTGGCTTGTTTTGGGGGGGCCACACCTGACTGTGCTCAAAACTTACTCCTGGCTCTGCACTCATGGATCATTCTTGGGGACCATATGCAGTGCTGGGGATTTGAACTGGAGTCAGGGCCATGCAAGGCAAATACCTTAACCCCTGTACTATCTCTTCAGCCCCAATCTCCATCTTACATGTAAGATGGATGCTTTACCTCCTCCATGAGAAAAGAAACTTCATTCTTGCCTTCTTGGTTATGCTCTTAGCAACTTAAATAAAGTTTGGCATATTAACACAAAATCATTGTCAGATCAATGGGAAAAATTACATGGTGAGAGCTTTTGGAACTGCCAGTGGTTTAATGGACTTTGGAGTATGCTTGCCTAGTCCAGCTGCCTTCTCTCTGGTTTTCTGTTGCCTGAGGGGTCTTATTTGTGGCCCACACTTGAGTCCTTTCCTTCTTCCCCACCTGCTCAACCACAGACGTGCCCTCCAGAGCAGGCCTTCCAGCCTGCCCTCTCTCCTGCTCCAGAACATAATTCTTGACACCAGTGACCTCCAACTCTAGCTCAATCTCATCCATTTATCTCTTGGGTTCTCAAATTCTAAATAGTTCAAAGAAGAGGTAGAACAAAATGAGTCTCAGTATTCCAAAAGTGGCTCCATTATCATTTCCAGAGTTAGTTTTTCAGAATATAATCCTCTAAACATCAAGGCTATGCATAAAAGAGGACACGCCAGAGCCTTGCAGAGTGATGGAATGTCTCACAACTGTCACCAGAGACAGGACAAAATACTGTAAATGTGTTCTTACCAACTAAGTCTGGAGACTCGTCTTATAAAAAAGGAGGGGGGGAGCTGGGCAGGAGAGATGATATAGGGGTTAGGGCACTTGCTTTACATATGGCCAACATTGGTTTTGAACCCCTGACACCACAAGATGGTTTCTTGAGAATTGCCAGGAGTCACTCCTAACACAGCACTCCTAAGGCATAGAACCAAGAATGCCCCTTAGCAATGCTTGGTGTGGCCCCCAAACCAACATTTAATAACAAGAGGGGAATAGCACACAAAAGTAATGCATCAAATAAGTAATAGACAGTGAAAAAAAGATAATATATCAGAATTTTAAGGAATAAAGTAAATAACAGAAGAGTCCAAAAATGATAGCGAAAAATTTTATTATATTTTAAAATAACAAATTTTGTCTCACCTTATACGAAAAATTAAGACTATTTTCATGTGACTCAAGGTTATGTATTCATTTAAAATACTTTGAAATACAAGTTAACAATTTTACCTGTCAGCTGAGTCTTAATTTTTTTCAAGAGCACACTATTTTAACTAGCATTTCTCTATTTTTTATGTGAGTCTGAAACGTAAAGAAAATCTCAGAAGAATATAAATGTAGATGGTTGATGAAATTCAAGATGTTTAATGTAATCTGAAAAAGAAACTACAAACAAAAATTATATGTGATATTTTCATTCAAACGGTAAGGAAGAGAAAAAAGATTAACTTCAAATGCTGATGATGACATGGGAAAATGAGCTCCTTATACTTTATTGATAACAGTATAAATTTCTTTAAGAAAAGCAATTTAGTAGTACCCATTTAAATTTAAAGTGCAGATGCTGTTTCACTCAGCAATTTACTTGTCTCTTTCCAGAGGAACATTCACCTTCGATGCATGCGAACAAAATAGCATTCATAAAAATATTGACCACAAATATTTATTTATAGTTACTAATAGAAAAAAAACAGGAAACATTTCAAACATTTCAAATGATCCATCAAAATAAAGAAATGGTTAAATAAATTACAATGCAACCAAACTATGAAATACTTGAGAAGTAAAGTGATCTATGTGTAACAAATTAATTCATAGCAAGTGAAAAAAGAAGATGCAAGAAACTTTATTACATAAAAATTAAACATGCTCCCCTCCCTAAAAGACCTCCACCAAGTTCTCCATTATCTATGAAAGTAGAGGCATGAGAAGATCCAAAGATGATCACTGTCCCTGGGGACAAGTGGCAAGTGACAGCCTTCTGGAAGGGAAGGGGGATTAATGGGGCTGTGGGGAGATTGTAATTTGCAAAAATGGCAACATTTGTATACACACAGGGTGTATCACAATCTACCCTCTCACCAAAGAGGTTCAGTTTCACATTGTAAGGAAAATCCATTGGACGGCTTCCCAGGGGCTTGGGAGCAAAGGCCCACCAAGAGCTCTGACTGTCCTTTAGCTCATGTGGCCTCAGCTGGTTTTGCCTTCGGGAAGGCCTCAGTCCCCACCCATCCTCTGGCTCTGTGTACATATTTAGCTGAGGTCACCCACATAGGGTTCTGCCCCTTCCCTGGGGGAAGCGGAGGAAGAAGGGGTCCAGCCCCTTGTGCCTCTGAGCTCAGCCCCAACAATTTTCCAGCTGGTTCTCCAGACTTGCCAAGAACTTCCCTGCTCCCTGGCCACAGCCAGCAGGGTTGGTGTGCAAAACCCCAAAGGACCAACACAGCACTTTCTGGAAGTGCTGATTCCTGGCCAGCTCATTTCACACATTGCATGTGAGCCCGAAACCTCATCAAGAAGGTCTGGAGTGTTTTCCAGGCTTAACCTTTCATCCAAAATCTACACTTCACAGCCCCTGTTTTTCTCAGCTGGGAAGAGGCTAACAGGAAACCGAGCAGCCACAGGCAAGGCAGGAAGTGGCGTCGCCACCTCGTGCTTCCTTTCCCTTCTATCTCCAGAGATTGACTTGTGCCATAGTCTAGGCTCCATGCAGAATCACATCATTTATCCTGGAGCCCATGAGAGTCCAGTTATAGCCTTGCCACTCTGCCTAATGTCCCCCAGGGTGGGGTGGGAGTGGGGGGAAGCCTGATGTCCCCAGGGGTGGGGTGGGAGTGGGGGATCAGCTGCTCTGCTGTGGAATTGCTGTCATGGGTTTGTAGAGGCGATGCTCCTTTGCTTCACTAGGAAAAGAGGCCCCTCAAGTGGACGACAGGGGGATGTATCCACCCCCAACCCCTTCTGCAATAAAGACCTATTATCAGAGGAGATATCCCAGAGAGTAGCGAGGTGTGGCCCTACTGCCAGCCTGGTTTTAGTACCGGCGTTTTCCCAAAAGAGATCAATTCCCAAGAATCATGAATGACCTTGGCTTGTGCAAAATCTGCGGAGAAAGTACCAGAAGACATGTGACAAGTTGAGGGTTTGAGTAGGGATGTCCAATCGTTTGAGTTCATTTTAAAATAGTAACAAGAAGCAACAGAAAATGAGCTCAAAAGATTGGACATCCCTACTCAGTTACTATTTAAAAGTAAGTGAGTCCACATAGCACACAAGGGAAAACTCACCCGCAGAGAAACGCAATATGGGAGTTCTTCCTCGGGCTCCCCTTGCAAATGGGGAAGGGAGCTTTTGCTTTTGTTTTCCTCCGGACTTAATAACAGGCTGCTGCTACCCCGTGGTTTGTTTGGAGCTGTCTCTGGGCTTTGACCTGAACCTCAGGGCGCCCACACAAATAGCGGAGGCCTTCTCTGTCATCAGGGATCAGGGAGGGGGGACACCCCACAGACAGAGTCCTGGGTAAGTGGATGGCTGGGATCCAGGACCCAGAGCCCCAAACTGGCCCAGTGCCTGCCTCCTCCTGCCCAGCTCTCGCTCCTTGGGACTGCTAATGCTCCACGTGATTTCTGGAGGCTAAAGTGTCTTTTTCCAGCCACAGCTTCCTTGGATGGGTGATCTCAGCTGAGAGGGAAGATGTCCAGCTGGAGGCCTGCTCATGACCCAGGGGCTCCAAGATCCCAGCAGTTGGCCTCTCCTTTTGCACGTTCTTAGAGAGCAGCCTCTGGGGAAAGGATCCCTTCTCTGTGTCCAAAATGTGCTGGCGCGAGGCCACCCTGGACACAGTGCTTAGGCCACACCGGCTGCTAACTCATCCTTATGGAAGCATGGCTCCAACTCAGAGGATAAGATCCCAGGACCTCATAGGTCAACAAAAGTACAGCACATAATTCCTAAGTGAGCTGGGTTTGCTCAAAGGCTGCCTCCGGCTCGCATCCAAGGCCTTTGCAACACTCACTGGGAAGCGGTAGATGGAATGAGACCCCGAGCAGAACTGACACTATGCCAATTTACAACAGTGGTTGCAGACCCTTGTT